GAGGTGGAGTGGGACAGTGATAGTGTATTCCTCACTAAACCATCAGCAGGTCAATGTCAGGAAGTGATCAGTCAATTACCCAACAATCATCAGAACATTCACCTCCTTGACTCATCACCTGATATTGTATACTTGATGATGTCTCAAGTACTAGACATAAGAACAATAAAGTGGATTGGTATATATTACACTAAAATAACAAAAGATGTCATCCTCTCACTGTCTCACACAATAACAAACAATACTTCATTAGTGGCACTATTGATCAGTGCTGATTCCATCAATGATGATGGAGTCATTGCACTAACACAATCATTAATTAATAATAAAACAATTACTTACTTAGATCTTAGTATCAATCCTGACATCACTTCAACCAGTGCTCAGTCACTAGCTGAACTTTTACTCTACAACCACACACTATCTTCCCTTTCTCTCGAAGGTACTAACATTGATACTGATGGAGTACTGGTACTGATGGAATCTCTCAGGACCAATAATACACTAGGGAGACTATGGCTAGACAAGAAACATGAACAAACTTGTTCTTCTTTACCTTATTATAAAACTATTGAAAACAGATTAGGCTTTGTGTAATTATTTCATGTACATTATTAGTTTATTAAAATGGAAAAAATAATTTTAAAATATACTTGCCGCCAGATTGACCACACCCCTCATGCCAAGAACACACGTCCATTATTCACATGAGGGAAAGAGAGAGAGAGAGAGAGGGAAAGGAGAAGATAAAGATGATGTAAACACGCTACAAGTACATGTACATGTCCATATAAACTTATACCACTATCAAACTGATGGGCTCAGCTTCTGTTGAAGACTAGAATACAATTACAGAAATTGGTGAGTTTTAATTTGGCAAATTTGTGTCCATGTGCCATTGAGCATGTACATAATGGTACAAAATGGTGTTTTAATTAATTTGACAAATGGCTATCAAAATGGAAAATTTGTCAAAATTTATTCCCGGGCCAGCGTCCAAAATTAACTGGTATATGATTAGTGACATTATAAAGTTAATTAATAAACTTAATTAATTAATAATTTATTAATAATGTCACTTATTGATTGTCTGGTGGTTAATGAATATTCATGAATTTTTAACCCTTTATCAACATCATGAACCAGCAATGGATCAATTGGTATACGTCCTATTTAATAAATAAATAAAATAATAATAATAATAATAATAATAAGTATTTAATGATGGGTGGGTAACTTCTATTTTAAAGGTGCACATTTTACTCTTTTAATTAACATGTACATGTAATACAATGTATGTTGTATTACCAGAAATTCATTAACTTAAGTGACATGAACATTTCCTAATATACCGTCCCTTATAAGGTAGTGCCATGTGTACATGTACTGGAGTGTCTCCATTATAATGAACCAGTACCTAGGAAAGGGACTTGACATTGTTTAGCTAATTCTTCACCTCCTCCAGTGGAAAATACATTAGTACATTCCTAATGAGAGGAGAGAGAGAGGGAGAGAGACAGAGACAGAGAGAGACAGAGACAGAGACAGAGAAGGGAGAGAGGGAGAGAGAGAGAGGGAGGGAGAGAGAGAGAGGGGGGAGAGAGAGGGAGGGAGAAAGAACATTATTAAAAGAGAAGGACATAAGTACATGTACATATATAAAGATAAAGAGAGAGAGGAGGAGGAGGTGATGGTGTGTACATGTACATTGTATGTGTCCTTATACTCACTGAACAGTGTGGACACACAAACCCACGCATGTTCTCTATAATACCAATAACTGGTAATAATATCTTTTTACAAAATGACACCTCTCTCCTCACATTTGATAATGATACACCCCTAACAATAACAATAATAATA